TAAACAAATATTATCACGCTTCCAAAATTTGAAATAGCTGTAACCCAGTGAATAATCCTTTTCAAATCAGTATCACTTTCACTCAATAAGATAATTGCTTTGAATATATTCAGTTGAACATGGAGTCTCTACCTTGGTCTCTATTCCTTTCTAGCTTTCTTTCTATGTGAAAAGTTTGCTTACTCTGGCAAATAATACCTCAAAACACTTGGCTACTGTGCTTTGAGGTAAATAATTAGAAATCTGTTTGCTCCCGGGCTGTCCGCAAGGTAAATAACTAAGAAAACCTGTTTGGCTACTTTAATAAGTTGGCTATATTTACCTCCCAAGCCTTTCACGCGGTAGTATACAGTAGTAGATTAGGGTAGAAAATTGTCTCTAGGACTACAATATGAACAATGTCCATTACAGTAGTGCAACCTTTACCACAAGTACCTTCACAAGCACAGCTATCATTGAAACACTCAGGCTCTTCATCTCCTGGCTGAACCAACTCCTGGTGTTTACAAGTCCTTTTTAATACTCTGCAGCCACGATGACACGAATACAATACAAAATCAAAGATAGTGAACAACAAGCCAAGTACACTAACACCAAAGCTAATGTCATTAAAAGTTTTTAATATTATTAAATTCTCTTCCTTGGTTTCATTTTTTATGTCATCAGCAAAACTCTCATTTCTTGCCTCTATATTTTGAACTATTGATACCAAAGAGAAACTTGTAGAAAGCAGCAGGGATACTACAGATAAATAGATAAAATACCTCTCGGATTATAGCTTTGTGGAATAATTACAAAAAACAGTTTTTGTAAGTACTTTTTTGCCAATTTCTTTTGCTTTTTCAATTGATTCTAATTTAAAAGGACTCTGTTTGCAGCAATCAATACATTGAATGTTGCAATTACATGTACATGTACATGTACTGTGACTCTCTTGTGTACTAAAGCATTCTTCCAATGCTTCCCTGATACATTGTGTTGCTTTAATGTCTTCTTTTAATAGCGGCATTGCTTCATCAAGATTTTCATCATCACATTTAGGTTGATCTATGTTTTTGTAATCCTTTCGTAAGTTTACTGCAGGAGAAGATTGACTTGTTTTTTTGCAACAGATTTGCTTGCTTAGGGCTACTGTGTGCAGAACTAAACTGAATTAACTCACCCTCTTTTACCTCATCAAGTGAACCTTCCATCCTTTGCTTTTGATCAGACACTGCATGTGCTACATAAGTTAATGATTTCTTTTTGGACAAAAGAAGTGCCTCCATTGCATCATTGTTGGGAGCAGTCATTATTAGACAGCTTTAGAAAGGCTTTATTCTACATTGTATTATTGTATTGAGCTCAGGACTCAAGTGAATCATATCTCACTAGGGGTGTAATGACTCACAAGGGGTGTGTTGGCTGAGTAGATAAATCTACATATTGTATCACATGATGAAAATACTGCTGTGAATGCTGTTCTAAGTGGAATTTTATTGAATGAATTTATTTTCACATAATTATTCCATTTCTTAATAGGGTACATAGATTATTATTATACATAAAAATTTTGTTTCTGGTTGCATTTAATTGTTGATGTTTGTACAGTTTTTTTACACAGGTGAAGCATTGTATTAAAAGAGAATAAGTTGTATTGCAATTAATAATCATTTTCGCAATTCAATTCAAGTAATGGTGAACCCATTTACAAACTGTTACAATTTAGTATTCAAAATGGTATTCTCATTACTGTGTTATATACAGCACTTCTGGTCACAGAAAATAGTTAATCCACCTTTAGAACTATTTTAAATTGTGTGCAGTGTGTGGTTCAATTATTTCTGTGTATTAGTAGACCAACTTTTATATACTTATCATCAAGAGTGGATGATTATCTACTCTTGTCATCATGTGTACTGATCAATTTATGATGTAATGTTACTCACAGTGTAATTGACTGTCATTTCTTAAAAATGCCAAATAAGGCCAATGCCATGTAATATTAGTGTAGTAATTATCAGAATGAAATTAACCATCAGGCAGAATCAACTAATGTCACTCATCCATTACCAGTCATACAAGCTTCACTCATTATCGACATACTACTATAAGCATATAGTGACCATAGCTGTATCAATTAATGTACAGTATATTAATCATGGAATTAACTCATTGGTAACTCATAGTGACATATTCAGTTAAATGTGACTTTTTATTGACGATAATTATTACTATTGATGACATAGCTATTAGTTTCACTAAAGTAGTGATTATAAATTGTGTTGGCTGATCTATATGTATTAATAATGTCTTTTTTGATTTCTCACAAAAATTGGTATAGTACTCAGTTTTATTCCAGCTCATGTGTTTTGTTAAAAATTGCTGGGAAAGAATTTTCTATACATAGCATACAAAATAAAAACTTTGAGTTGATTCTAATAATTTTTTTCTATATATATACATGTACTTATGTTGTGTAGAAAGTTTGAGCTGATTTTGATCAAAATTGAAATTTTTACAAACTTTTAAAAGTTTTTTCAAAAAGACTATTGGGATCAAAATTGCTATTAGCATTTAATGCTGTAACCCACTTAAACATTGCCTTGGAAGCAAACTTTGTGTTAACACCACCACCCAAACCAGAGTAGTAGTACGTATGTCAACTTGTGGTGATTATTCCAGGAATTACTGACCAACTGTTGACATTAGCAGTATGCACCCACACATGATAGTACTATGCAATGTACTACATAGTCTAATATAAAAGTTGTGTATTGTCTTTCAAACAATACCATATAAAATAGTTTTAAATATCATGTATTGTCTTATACTAAAAAATACCATTGTCCACACAGAAACAAGAGCCTCGTGCAGTTCTGCATTTAGCATTAGCCATTTGTCATCATGGAAAATGAACCTTCATCTCAATTGGTACCAGTACATGCTGTTCCAGTGCTTGCTAGTACTGATCCTGTGCTGCCTTCAGAGGTCTTGCCTACAAGACAAAATATAAGGGTTGCACAGAATGTTGAATTTGTTCAGGAAGAAGCAACTTCTGGTGATTTGACTGTAGTTTCTAAAGAGATGAAGGCTCAGAAGGCTGCTGTGCTAGTTGAAGAATCTGCAGATGGGGGGAACGTTAGGATAAAAGGTTTAGAAGTTGGAATGCTCAAAAGGGAGGTTGCCATTGAAGTTGATGGTAATCAAGTAGCTCGTGTTGAACTACAGTACATGTTTATCAGAGCATTTGAGGCACACTTGAGTAGGAGGTATCACCATTTGGCCCTTGGTCCTGGGGATGAGCTACCTCCTTATGAGCCAAGTGGTTTTGAATCAGCAGTCTATTGTTGCTGTCAGGCCTATAGCTGTGATTTCAAGGGTTGCTGTGGTCGGCGATGCAAGGTATCTACATCTGATGTCAAGAAAAGCTATGAAGAACCTGAGACCATAAAGAAATCACGTCCAATTGGTTTGAATGTGATTAAAGAGAATTTTTTGAACTTTCTTGCTTTTTCTTTGATTGGAGAAGCATTTCTCTATTTCACATTGATATTTGCTTTTGTTGAGCTTATTATCTCACTTGTTTCACTCATCACTGACTTTAGCTCTGACCAAAATGATCAGATCCTTGAAATCATTAGTATGGTTTTGAGTGTCCTAGGCACTGGATTTTCCTTTCTTGATTTCAGTCTTCACTTTCGTCATCGTGGCTGTCGAATTTTTAAACGAGCATGTAAAGGAGAAAAGCAAGAGCAGGAACAAGATGAAGAACATAAGGAGTTTTGCAATGACACTTGTGCCAATAAAGATAAAAAATCCTGTGGTAACCGTTGTGTTTCAGTTCTGGACATCATCAGGATCTTTGTACTGGAGACCATTTACTATCCTGATCTTCTAAGCACAATGTTTGATTTCATTGATGAACTCATTAGTAATGATTACAATCCAAAGCAGATTCCTGCCGCGAGCTGGCTTTCTTTCACCTGGAGCATGTTACTCATTCTAGTTACAGTGTACTGTGCCAAGCTTAACTCCCTAAGGGGTCTCGTTAAGTCTGTGAAGGAGGCCAGACCTGATAAAAAATTTCAGGGGGCCCTATTCATATTCACTTTTTCCCTTTATATGTTAGGGCTGATGGTACTTCAGATGCTAATGGTAGCAACTATTGGTGGACGGTATCATCACGACTTCACTGCTGGTCCTGGTAAAATAAGTGGTCAGCTGTGGTACATGATGGTGTGTGGGTACTTGATGCCCGTGCTTGGTACTGCCATGTTCTTTGTCGTTCATCATTTCTGGACTATGAAATTACCAGTAGATTTGATCTTTGACTTGTTAAAAGATTTACAGACAGAAGGTAAGGAAACCGACAATACCAAACAGGATGAAGAGAGGCTTGTGAGACTGAGGCGAATGTTACAATACATTGATGGAGAGAAGTTTAAAAGTGATTACCTGAAATTGAAGAAAATCGATTGCATTACGAAAGTTGGTCACCCTTTCTCAAGCCCACTTCATATCTTACTTGCCAGTTTTTATTCTGCTATGCTACTCGTGTTTGGCCTTTGTAGCATGATTGGTGGCCCTTCTGATGGAGCTTGGTATTTGTTCTATTTCATCGGTGGAGTATTTGGCACAATTGTCAACATGTATGCTGTTGCTGTTTTCCTTGTTTGGTCCTTCTTTATAGTCAGTGTACTGGCTGCTGTTCTTGTTCTCATTGGCATGTTTTTAATTTGTTGTCTGATTTGCTCAATGGCATCTTCTGATTCCTCTAATAGGCACCAGTATTAAACTAAAAGTTTTGATAGAATGATTGAATAGGCCACTATATTTACAGTACTTTTTGATAAGTAATGAACTTAGTATATTTTTTGTTTAACTCAGTCTTTTTTATTAAGCATTTTTCTTTTCATGGTTTGATTATTAATGCAACAGAACAGATAATTTCAATAATTTTTGACACTAATGTATTCATGGAAGTGAAATGTTTTTGTGATTAGATCTATTTACTTGATTTTTTTCAAGAGGGCATATAATATCTACCTTGTTGTATTCTTCTACAAATCATAATTTCTAAAATTAAAAATGTCTAATCACTAAATTTTAAAAATAACTATTAGATTTTGCTAAAATTTCTTCCAAACTTTTTATGCCATAGATTTCATTCTTGCTCTCTTTTGATGCAGAAAGTATATAGCTACTGCTCCAATCACTATTATTATAACTCCAATTGCAACAAACAGGAAGCAGCCTATGGTGAATTCAGCAAGGCCAGATTTACCTGTTATGTCACTGACTTGATACGAATACATAAGATCAGCTTGAGCTGTTACCTCAACTGCAAGATATGTATCACTAGTGCGATCACAATAGAATGAGCTACATAGTGAGAAATTACAGGATGGACTTATGAATGATAGCGGCTTATCACAATTTGAAGGTCGACTCATTTGACTTGTATCGTAATTATAGCCAGTAACCGTTACATTGGATGTTATCAAGTAATCTGTATCAATTTCAATACCAACATAATAGGTCGATGAGTCTTTTATAATGAATTGTAAATTCTTTAATTCACCTTTTAATGGTGTACAAGGAGTAACGTCTACAGATTTAAAGGTTTCTCTGTTACGAAATGTGTTGTAGTTATAAATGTCATTAAATAGAAAAAGTCGATACGGGCACAATGAAGAGTCATTTGAGTCACCATTGTAAATAACATCAAGTGTATAATTTATACTTGAACCTGGATTTAGATATATTCCCTCATCCCCGGGATAATAATTATAGTTGAATCGTCCATCACCTTCCAAAAATGGTATCCTGATTTCTTGTAGCTGGAATTTAGAGGAAAGGAGAGGTCGTGTACTACTAGAGTACACATATGCCATCAGTTCCTGCTTAGGGTTGAGTAAAGATATAGTAAAGAGGTAGGCTCCATTATCAATAGTGATAAGAGATGTTGCTGATTGCAAGCCTGAGTTAGAATCACCTAGTTCCAAATTTGAGCTAAAAGTATCCAATCCTGATCTATTGCTATAGCTGCTTACAAGCAAGCTAATAGCAATAGCAGATAATATTATAAATACCACTATTAGAACAATTATTATAACAATGCAATTTTTGTTGTTCTTTTTTCCTACAAACATCATTATAATTGAAGGAGTAGCATAAGTATGGTAACCAGTACCTTGTTTTATAATTGTAATTTCACTTCTTTGCTGAGCCTGGTCTTTGTTAGAATCTAATCACACAGAAATCTATTTAATTTGGTCATTGGCCAACAAACCTTTTAGAAGGAGCTTGTCAGTTTCTGATGAGTCTCCATTCCCTAATTTGGTATCAGCCATATACATTACTGCAGTCTCTATAACTGACAAGAGTTTGTCAGATAGGGATGGAGGAGGTGTTGCCCCTTCTGATAATTATCAGTAGTTTATATATGTAAGATCATGTGATTACATCTTTTTTAATAGTAAATAGTATTTTATTGTTGAGAATGACTTGGAGAATGATCATGTTGTTTGATAATTTCCTATGAACTGCCATAATATTGTGTGTACAAATGTAATTTATCATGTAGTATAGGTCAAAACAGTATGTCAACTATGATAAACTAATGTCAAACACATTATTGTTGAGCCACAGCCCACCTATTTTTATTCACAGTAAAAAATACTGATACTATTAACAGTTAAGATAGATTAGATAGTATATACTATAATAAAAACATACTCTAAAAATAAAAAAGGTATTCTTCACTAGTTAATAGATCCACTTCTTGACTTTATTGACTCATAGCCTTTCCTTTCTTTTTGTGGCATAAGCAACATTATACACACACAGACACACACAAACATACAAACAAATGCACAGAAAAAAGCTACAATGCTTACAATAAAACCCCAAAATTTATATCCTCCATAAACATGAGGAGTTGTATACATCTGAATGAGAGTAACAGGACCATTTGGTTTAATAAAAATATTCTCTGTATTTGATTTAGGTCCAGAACAAAGAAAATAATTACAACGCGTAATTATACACTCTCTGTTAGAATCTGACAGATGACAAAAGTTATAGCTGCTCAATCCTGTTGTATTGTAGTAGTACTGTATGCCAGAAATGTTGCTTTTCAGTGTGATATTATCAGAAATGTTGAGTCCAACGTAATATTGTTTGTCACTACCTTTCAGTTGCCATGAGTTAACAGAATTAACAAAAAGACAGGGAGAACTTGACGATGCAGTGAATGGACGTTCATTACGAAAGCTGTCATAGTTCTCATAATCATTGAAGGCATACAGCTTAGCTGGACAATTTGAAGTTATCGAGCCACTAAAACTAAAATTGTAGATCAAATATGAGCCTAAAGACAAATATATAAATTGATCTCCTCCATAGTAGTTATAATTGTAGATTTCATTGGGTCCTGAAAGATAAGAAATTTTGGTACTCAAGTTCCTATATACTTTCACTGGGTTCTCTGATGTACCATCCACCTCTACCTTTACTCCATCAAGCTCTTCTTTTGTACCATTTAGACTAATGTTTATCATGTATGGTTGATGAGAAGACAACTCTGATTGAATAACGTATGCATCTTGATTGCTATTGCTCTCACTATCTCCATAAGAAGAAGCATAAGTGCTACTTTGAGGAGACTGCACAACAAGGCAGATGAGGGTAATCCCAGTGATAAGACTTGCTAATGAAACTAATACTGCTCCAACTAGGAGAGCTTTCCTGACTGCACTAGAGCACATAATAATATTATATTTTCTTACAGAGGGAAGCAGGTTATCCTATTTTTTATAGTTGCACAGGCTGCATCAGCAACCTACCCAGCCACTCCCTCAATTCAAGCATCATCAGCAAAAAATCACTAATCACGTGAGGTTTGCCGCAACCACGTGTAAACTTTTAAAAGTGAAAAGTAAGAAGGATAAATTTATGGATTCCAGTGTCTCGAGTAAAGCGTCAGTAAGTACTTTTGATTCAGCAATTTCAGCTCTGGATGCAACTGCTGCTAGTACTGATTTAGAATCACACGATGACGACTCCATAGTAAGACCACGGCGCGTGGGTAGATCTAGCGTGATGATAGAAGAGTCTGCCTCGGAGGACGAGGAAGAAAGCGATGAGACTGAAGGAGACACTACCAGGAACGAAGAAGACGGAGAAACTGATGAAGAGGGCTCGCTTGAAAAGGAGAGGCAGCATCCCGAACCCTCAGAGTCTGAAGAAAACAACTCTGACGTAGTAGTAGTAGTACTATCAACTGATGAAGATGAGGAGTTAAGTGGTAGTCACCCTAAAGGACAATATCATGAAGCCTCAGAGTCTGAAGAAAACAATTCAGACTCACATTCCGATGAAGATGATGACTCAAGTGATAGAGACGATTCTGATTCCAAAGGACGATATTGTGAACCCTCAGAGTCTGAAGAAAACAATTCAGACTCACATTCCAATGAAGATGATGACTCAAGTGATAGAGACAATTCTAATTCCAAAGGACGATATCGTGAACCCTCACAATCTGAAGAAAACAACTCGGACTCGGGTCCAGACCAATCTCATTCCGATGAAGACAATGAGTCAAGTTATAATGATGCTAAGACAAGCGAACCACCTCAGCCTCTGTCATCCCTTGTACACAAGCTTACTCTCAGTTCGTCTCACAAAGAAGCTGCCAGGAAGCCAGTAGCCATTTATCATCCTCCTTTACATGGACCGAGACCCACTCCTCCTACTACCAGTACTCCGACCATTAGTGCCAAGAGTGGTCTGACAAGTGCTAATAAAGAGAATGAGGGGGACGAAGATGAGAAAGAAAAAGAGAAAGGGTTCGAGGTGGGATTTCAGTTTAGAAAGCTAGTGAAGCAGCTGTATGAACAACAGGTACATTGTCACTTTATCTCTTAATATTTAAACTACCATATAGCAGAAAATTTTGGTGGGAATTAAATTTGGCATTTTGATAGCTATTTACCAAAACAAAAATCTGCCCTTTTGAGCCATTATGCGCATGCTCAATAGCACATGGCCACAAATTTGCCAAATTAAAATCCACCAATTACCAAAAATTTAGCAATTCACCAAATTTTACTCTCTCCAAAATTCCCCACTATATGGTATTATGAAAGTGTAGTAAGCTCTTGTTTTAACTTGTCCTTTCTCTCAGACGCTATTTGATAGATTTGGAGCTCACCTTCCAGACAATGGATCAAGTATCAAAATGAATATAGAGAGTATCAAAAAGAGAATGATTCATCTAAGAGGCTATGTCCCTTCTAGTGGAGAGATTATTGAGATGCTGCGTCAACCCGAGGACCCGAAACAGTCAGCTGTTGCTAGTAGCCATTCAGGACAGTCTACCAATGTAGCGCAGCCTGGACTAAGAAAGGTAGTATTGTGTGTATTATAGTGTATACAGTAATGGGCTAATCATTCTAGTATAGAGTTATTGTTACAGTGATTTTCCTTAAACCTGCATGATAGAGAAGCAGAAATGTGTTATGAACATGCTCTGTTGTGGCTGTAATGTACACTGTACTTTTATTGTATAAATTATGATTTTGAACTGAAATGTGTCAAGTACTTAATTGATTGTTTTTGTTTTGTTAGGGCCTAATGGTACATGCACAGGCAAAGTTTCTAAGTGCTAATGTTGTTTCAAGCCTTCACAAGTAAGTAATAGTGTTATTATTATTATTATTATTGTTACTATACATTAGGGATGATTATCCCATTCAAAAATTGTTTATATTTTTCCTTTTATGTTTCATGTCAAATTCAGTCTAAGCATACCCTTTTATAGCTCCCATTTCTAAAAAGGCTATTGTGGGTTGCACCTGTCATTAATGATATTCATAGATTAGTGGTTATGCCAGTAACCACTACAAAGTCTGAGTTTGCATGTATATCAACTACACTATTATACATGCATAATATACATGTGCATCTACATTGAGTGATATGTCCTTATTTATTCATTGCTTCTACCTGCTGTCATCTCTTCTTGTTTTCTGTTCTTCTCTTCTCATAGTACTATATCCTCCAGACCAACTGAGGATACTCCAACAGATCCTCCTCGTGGCTTGAAGGTGCCACTGATGGCTCATCAGAAAACAGCTCTCACATTCTTACTGTGGAGAGAGAAACAAGTACCACGTGGTGGCATACTAGGTACACGTGTGCATGATTAGTTAATTAGTTTTATGATTAGCGGATTTGGTTTTACATGTAACTCATTTCAGCTTGAGGCCAGAGGAGCTAGTCAAAAATATTTATTTTTGGTGATTATTTTGAGTTATTTTGGTAGTCATTGTAAATGTTAGTTTCTTATACTCTTCAATGAAGGTTTACTTTGCCTTTACCATTTATCAAAACTTACAGCACACAGCCACGTACATGTACATTGCATAACATGCACTGTACATGTACATTGCACTCTAATTATTGATATCTTTGTATAGCTGATGACATGGGGCTTGGTAAAACTCTATCAATGATTTCATTGATAATGAAGAAGAAGCAGCTAGAGGAGGCTGAGAGTGAGCCCCAGTCCACTGGAGAGAGTAGAGGTAGGCCTACACTGAGGACTGAAGCTACACTGGTAGTGGCTCCTCTTACTTTGTTGAGCATTTGGGAGAACGAAATTGAGTCAAAATTATATTCAGGAAACCTGTCCGTGTTTCGTTACCACGGACCAAAAAGACCAAAGGACCCACGCGTGTAAGTTAATGGGTTAATGTTTCCATCCATACGACATTACATGTACAGTGTACCTTTGTGTTTTATTCTCTGCTATCTAGCATTACATGTAGTGTTACTAGTGTACATGTATGTGTTCATTTTATTTCCTTTTTTTATTTATTTTTTAATTTTTTATTTTACAGGCTTATAGACTACGATGTAGTCATTACTACCTACGATATTATTGGAATGGAAGGAAATGCCATTAATGCGGTCAGTAAACCATACATGTACACATGTACACGTGTACTATACATACATATTTGGTTGGTTTTTGTTTTGTGTTTTTGGCATGTCATTGGTTTATTTGTTACTGTATACATGTAGCTAGTACATTTAGGTCTATTGTCCATACTACATGTAGCTGAAGGTACAAACTTTCCTTTATTGCTTTACAATCATCAAGTACATGTAGTTGTCTTAAAATTGATAACCATTTTTGTTACAACAAGAATTAAAACTAGGCTCTGCTGCATGTGCATTTACTTGTTTGAACTGTAACAGTACTATAAATCATATCAAACATTTGTTAGCCTAATGATATTGTTATTTTTAGGCGACTGATACTTCTGGTAAAGCCAAGAGAAGTGCCCACCCAACCTTGTTCCACATTCACTGGAAGAGGATCATATTAGATGAAGCTCACATCATTAGAAATCCTAAATCAGCTACTAGTGAAGGTTGCTGTAGCCTTGATGCTGGTAAACTCAACATGTATTGATTGTGTTAATAGTACAGTATTCATGTATGTACATGTACATGTATATGCATACTATAAGAAAACTAATCAATGTTACACAGTAGGCCATGGACTATAGTAAAGGGTATTTCGCCAAAAATGACTAGGAGAAAATTCTCCATTTTTATAATTTTTCCTGATACATATACATGTTCTTATGTTGTGTAGCAAGTTTGAGCTGATTCCAATCAAAATTAGATTTTTTACGAATTTTAAAAGTTACTCAAAAATCGGGCCAAAGTCTCTGTACTATAGTACAGGGTCATTGGCCAAATTTTGCCAAAAATGACTAGGAGAGAATTCTTCATTTTTATAATTTTTCCTAGAACATATACATGTTCTTATGTTGTCTACCAAGTTTGAGCTAATTCCAATCAAAACTAGAATTTTTTACAAATTTTTAAAGTTACTCAAACATCGGGCCAATTTTGCCAAAAATGACCAGGAGAGAATTCTTCATTTTTATAATTTCATTTGATACATATGCATGTTTTTATGTTGTGTAGCAAGTTTGAGCTCTTTCCAATCAAAATTAGATTTTTTACAAATTTTAAAAGTCACTCCAAAAGCCATGTACATGTACATCTTCTGTATTGTAGTGCTTGTCAGCTCATGAAGCATGCTTTGTGGGAAACCCTGGTTTTACTGCGTACTAATATTATGTGTATGTACTACGTATACTAGTACATTTGTATATGTCAATAATGTGCATGTGTGATACAATTTTTACACTTCTTCCAGTGTAGTACAGTATTATGTTATGTTATTTTAATAAATTATTAGATTATCGTTGGGCCCTTACTGGTACTCCCATACAGAACAAGCTTAAAGACTTCTACAGCTTAATAAAGTAAGGAATGTCTAATTAGTAATGAATACATCTCTATGTTACCTTTTTCCTTCTCTCTCCCTTGCATGTATGTACATGTACATGTACACACTTATATCACTGGTACATGTATATCCAGTAACACGAAACAGCTGTAATTTATCTACTTATCCTATAGTGTGTGGGTGTATGAAAGGCAAGTATGAAAGTGTTTTTGCAGACTATAGTCTACTCCAGTATTGGCAGTTAGATCCTGCTGCTAACTATGTCTACTCTCCACCTTATGAACTTGTGGTGGTGCCTTTAATACACCCACAGGCTGTATTACAAATCTACTCACTGTATATTTCTTAATTGTCCTCATTACTGCTGGTCTTTTCATTAATACCAGGTTCCTTCATGTTGCTCCCTTTGATGATCTTAGAGTTTGGAAGGACACTATTGAGGGTAGAAACTTAGGTAAGTCTTAACAATATTAACTTACATGTACAGAAAAACATGATGTACATGTACATGTAGTAGCTGATACAACTAGTCTACTATCAAAACTCCCCAATTTATTTTGCTAATTGTTATTTTCATTATTATTATTAATTTATTATTATTATTATTATTTTCATTATTATTATTATTATTAGGAATGAAGAGGTTACAGGCGATGGTCTCATGCTTAGTTTTGAGAAGACTAAAAGAAGAGTTTGAATCAGTAAGAATGTAACACTATAATTCTATCTTTTATAATTGCATATATACGTGCATGTACATGTACATGTAATCAGAATCATTATTTTTTGTATTTTAGACTAAGCTACCAGCGAAAAATGTGGTATGTCACAAGCTTGCTCTCAATCCGGAGGAGAGGAGTATCTATAATGTGCTCTTTCATTTCAGCAGGTAAGCATAATAATTTCTTTTTCTTCAAACACAAAGTTTCGCTCAATAAATATTAATAAGCACCCACCTCATACATGTACATAAAGTATGGAATTTTATAAATACATGTACATGTACACTGTACCTTTCTACTACATGTACATGTATATGCATGTAATGTGTCCATGTAGGAGCATGTACAAAACATGCAATTAATATTTAATGCATAATTACATGTACATTTAGAGCAGCTATACACCTACATGTACAGTACGTGTAGTCATGTACCGTAAATGTTCAAATAAAGGCCTGGCTTGAATAAACGCCTGGTACTAAGAATTTCCAAGTATAGATACGCATATTTTACTCAATATAAGTACCACAATCTTTAGAGTGTCCCAAATGGCATAACTTGTTAAGTTGAGGGCATTGAGTCTGGAATTCTGGGTTTGAATCCCAGTTTTACTTTTTCTTTTTTACGGTGCATTTATATAATAGTAATTGTTGTCTTATTTCTTTCCACACTCTCTTATCACTCCTCATACTCTTTTAGAGACTTCTTTATGAAGTATTTAACTGAGTTGGGTGAATTTGATATGCTTCCTGATTCAGCTCCATCCCTCAGTAGTCTACTGCACAAAGTCCCGTCTCATTTAAGATCCTCTGTTGAAACTTTAATGGAATCAATGATACCTAACATTGAGGAAATGGAAGGACAGCGTCGGTCAGGGTCCATGATATTGTTACTGTTATTAAGGTAATAAAAGTTAGAGAATTAGTAATGGTAGAAATTATAGAAAGCATTTTTAATTTTATGTACATGTACGTAATTTTTTTACTGGCTTGAGAGTTATGTTTAAAAATATTAAAGTTGCTTCATAATTTTGCTAAAGTCCTTAGGCTATTTTATAGAGATTTTTTTATAAAAAATTGCTTGGAAAGAATTGTCCATTTTTATTGCATTTTTATGTACATGCATGTACATGTTCTTATGTTTTGTAAAAGTTTGTAATTTTCTATTGTTAAACTACAGTTTAGTAGAATTTTTAAAGGCAATTCCGAAGAGTCGTTAATGTCTTAAAACATTCATATCAATTGATGCATGTACAAATATACATGTACATGTACATGTACATTGCACATTTGTAACTGTACAGATAAATTTGAACTTTTAGAAATTTATCAATGATATACTATTTGTAGATTGAGGCAGTGTTGTAATCATCCTAATCTCTTGTCTACTGCTCTAACCTCTGAAGTGTTGGCTGAGGATGATCTAGCACTAGCTATGGGAGCTCTCTCTATTGGGGCCACCTCTGAGCCAAAACAAGACCTATCTGTTAGTTTTTATTGTATTGAAATTTTGTGCTGTATATACGTTTGTTTAAATTTGTACTTTTTGAGTATAATCAATGTATGTTACCATATACTGGGATATTTTTGAGTTGCTAATTTTTCATGAATATTGCCTTAAGATTTCACGAAATTAAATTTTCACGAATAGCTTGCAAACTGTGCGACGTGGCAATAAAAATGCGGTTCTGTTTTTGCAATGGGGCAAAAAGTGTGAAATTTGGGAAAATTTGGCTACTCGAAAATTTCCCAGTATATGGTATTTTCTGTCCCTGTATACACTTAGTGTAATAAGATATTGTGTCATTTCATTTTTCATGTCACATATACATACATGTACATGTTGTATTGTATAGGTTAGTTCCAAAGGATTTTTCCATAGCTCTCACATCAGTAGTAAGGTATTCATAACCCATTATTACATGCACTATTGTAATCACAATAAGAAGTGAAGGAAACAGTATGGCAGCAATTTGGGTCCAACATGAGCTTTGAACTATCAAATGAATATCCCATTTTTTCACAATAATGCAAGTACTGCATTTGCTTAAATAAACGCCCTGCTTAAATAAACGCCCATGACAAATATTTTCAAACTATAGATACGCATATTTTAGCCAGTATATGTGCCACATGATTTAGATTGTGCCAGATAGCCTAGCTGTTAGAGTACAGTTTGGAATGCTAGAAGGTTGCAGGTTCAAATCCACTAGAGGCTTTTTTGTTTTTTTTTCCTGTTAAGAAATAAACGCCCAGGCGTTTGATCGAGCAAATACGGTACATGTAGAATTTTATATACATGTAGTGCATGTGTATGCTATACATGTACATGTAGTGCGTTCTTTTTTTAAATTTACATGTAGTATAAAAATTCTAAATTCATCTTACATGTATTTCACATACACTACATTGTATATATGTATTATGCCTTCATTGCTTTTCTCTTGTTTTTCTCTCACAGGTCCAGTCTATCATTACTAAACTGGATGAAATCTTTTCTAATGAGGACCCCAATGAGCCATTACCTAATAAATGGTCAGTTTATGTGTGTCACTCATTTCACAATGAAAATTTACATGTACATGTACCCCAGGGTTTCCCACAGGATTCTAGCATAGTGCTCAATCATAAATTTGACCAAAATATCCCGTACTGATATTTTGTCAAATTTCATCAAATATGGCTACAATAGATAGCTCTTATTCAATTTTTGATGCATGTATATGTTCTTATGCTGTGTAGAAAGTTTGGGCTGATTCCAAATCAAGTTTAAATTTTTTTACAAATTTTTAAAGGTACTCAAAAATCGGCCAAAAGTCCCTGTACTATAGTACAGTGATTTTGGCCAAATATCATCAAAAATGAAAAGGAGAAAATTCGCCATTTTTATAATTTTTCCTGATGCATATACATGTTTTTATGTTGTGTAAAAAGTTTAAACTAATTCCGATCAAGTTTGGAATTTTTACAAATTTTTAAAGGTACTCAAAAATCAGCCAAAAGTCCATGTACTATATATAGCAGTGATTTTGGCTGAATTTCATCAAAAATGAAAAGGAGAGAATTCTTCATTTCTATAATTTTTCCTGTTATGTTTTTTAATTTGTATTTATGTTGCGTAGAAAGTTTGACTGATTCTGATCAAAATTGGATTTTTATGAATTTTTTAAAGTTGCTCTATACGCTATAGTGCTTGTCAGCTCACTTAGCATGCTTTGTGGGAAACCCTGGTTTACACTGTAGTGCACTGTAATGAGTTTTTATTGCCTTAAATGGACTTTTACTACTGTTTTCGTAGTACATGTACATTAATTGATATATTGCAGTATCATAGTGTCACAGTGGACCAGCATGTTGCATATCATTGAGCATCACTTAACACTGTCTAACATATCATGTACAAAGATTGACGGAAAGTTAGTTAAATTTTTAAATGGATGTGTACATACATTTTTTGTATATTTACATGTACATGTATAATGTATGTGTTGTGTTATTTATTTCTTAGAGTTCCTCTTAAAGACCGTCATGCTAACATTGATGCATTTAACAGGAAATCACCTAACCCAAGAGTTAGTACTGATTACTGGCATACATTTACACATACATGTAGATGTACATGTAGCTACATTGTTGTATACTGAATGAAGTGACAGCAATACTCTCTTTCTTCCTCCCTCTTTCTTTCTCTGTCCCTCCCTCTCTCTCTCTCTCTCTCTCTCTTTCTCCTCCTCTTCCTCTCCAGGTTATGTTATTATCATTACAAGCTGGTGGTGTTGGTCTAACACTGACTGCTGCCAATCACGTCTTTATCACTGACCTCCACTGGTACGTGCCACATTATGAAACTAGTGGAGAGAGTGTTTTGTATTATAATACTGCATTATGTACATTATAGGAATCCTCAATTGGAGCAGCAGGCATCAGACAGGTGTCATCGTGTTGGTCAAACACGGACAGTAACTATCCACAGGTAAGGAATACATGTACATGCATGCAAGTTTTAAAGAATTGTATGTACATTTTATTGACATTTTGAATTGATAACCAGTACTTGTAAAGTACATGTACATGTAAATGTATTTTTCACTTGATATGCATTGCCTACACCGCCCATTTAAAAGCTTGCTCCACTCTGTGATTATGATTCAAATTGTATTCCCTTAGGTTTATGACTGAGAATACAGTAGAGAGAGTCATAGCAGTGATACAGGAAAACAAGTTGAAATTAGCTTCTGATGTTCTTGGAGGGTAAGCTACACACACACACACGTGTATAGTAATGATACTTCATTGCCTGTTAGTCCTACATGTAAAAACCAATAGACTAAATATGCCCACTAAACATTGTGTTGGGTTTGATTTGATTATCACAGCTCACAGTATTACACACATTATCTATTTTATTTTTTTTTTCCCAAATTAGGTCTACCAAGAAAGGAAGGAAGGGTATGGGGCTGACACTTCAAGAGCTCAAAATGCTCTTTGAAATACCTTAACTCATGATCATTTATTATAATTGATTTCATTTATATGCTGCCCACTTGATGTTGTACTGTATTGTCATTGACTATTGATTTTAAATCATTAGTTTAGTAAAACTGTCACACAAACAAGGGAAAATGGGATTTGTGTCATTGATAACAAAAATTCTATTATCATTAGATCTACCATCATATTGTAACTAGATTCATTGCTCCACTTATCTAGTCACGTGAAGCTATTTTGCTGTCACCGCAAGAAATACAGCAACCCTCCAGCTCCAGTACCCAGCTTGGTTTAAGCATGGCAAGTTCTTCTGTGAAACAACAGATACTAGGTTAGTCACAAAACGAGTCTTTCATGCTTTGATGAATTATTAGGTGTTGGAGATCTTGTTAAAGTACTTGGTTTATTGAAGAAGCATGGATATTCTGGTGTAGATTATTATGAGCTTGGTCTTCAACTCGGTCTGCTCTCACCTACACTTGATGTTATTGATAGGAATTTTCGTGGAGATGTGAGTGGTGGTCTAAGAGAGTGTTTGAAAGCATGGTTGAAGCAAGCTGATCAAGTAAAAAGTACAGGTGGCCCAACTTATGATTCACTAATACAAGCTTTGAGAAAGATTGGAGAAAATGCTGTTGCAGAGGGGATAAAAAATCATGAGGAATAGATTGTGGATCAGCAAGCATTATCATCACATATGTGGCAGGATATGGAAACATTATATGTACATTAAAACCCTATTGTTACCAGTAACTCAGTTAGCTTAAATGTTATATAGATATGTATTGCTGTATTATTATAATATTATATATATATATTCATTTTCTTATTGGCCATGCTATATCTCCCAGTGTCAGTATAGAATTCTATCTATCTCAGTTTCAATTTGCCTGTGTAAGATGCCACCAGAGTGAGCTTGATATATCACTTGTTCGAAAACCAATGATACTGAGGTACCATTAATAATTATGGTTCAAGATGATGTACGTATCATGTATGGTGGCAACTGAGTAACCATGGTGACTGTTGTAACCTAGGCGACTTAAATAAAAAGTAGAATGAATTAAAAATAAATTTTTCTTAGGAATAAAAAAATTAAATAAATAACAAACAAAAATTGTAAATAAAATTAATAAAATTATGAACACTATACTTGCCCATAATTGGATAAAATTACTAACATTAGTTATACTGTACAAATTTTTTAATTGCACAGTAGAATATGATTCGAAGATTGATCTAATGTATATAAATTTATTCCTAAATTTCTTGCAGTAGAATTTATTGCAAGTTTCTATCACACAAGTAGGATCATTAATGTTCCGATACTCATTGCAATCACTTGGATTGTTATACCCACTGATGTTACATGTGTATTTTAATACTGATACATTACTCTCAATAATATATCCATCTTTTATTTCAATGCCAACATAATATAAATCTGCTTGTGTGATATTGAAAAATGCTACCAAGAAGTTATTGGCTGTATCTATTGGATATGATTTCACTGCATGGTATGGTTCATAATTCCTGAACTGATTATAATTGACAAAAGTGTTAAAAAGATACAGGACAGCAACTTCCTCCTTAGTTTCAAAACTCCTGTTGTTTTCTTTCTCCATTACTTCAAAACTATACATCATTGAAGAGGGCTCCATCAGGTATATGCAGGTCTCCACCTAGGTCAGTAATTGTACAGTTCAGTGTACCTAGCTAAACCCTCCAATTTTGGAATATGTGACAACAGAAGATAATCACCTACTTTTATTGGACTTGTATCACTACTAAATACTTCAACAGTTGCATCATCAGCATTTTGTGACAATAGAGTCACTGATATTGAACTAGATCTATTGACCGTTATCAGTAATGGGGAGCTGGTGTCTTGAATTGTTAAAGTCTCATCACTTGTCTTAGAAGTTGAATACGATAGTGTGAATAGAGGCACAAAACAAGCAATACAGACTAGCATAATGACTGCATAGAAGCATAAAACTGATAAAAGCCATTTCTTATTCCCTATCAGTATGTCAGTTTTATTGATGAATAAATTATACACTTACATTTCTTTTTGGTACCAATGTTTTCTCCTTGTATTCCACCTTTTGCCACTGATGCTGGCAATAAATATTCCTTTTCATTGGAAGATTTCACAGCTAAAGCTCTCCTAAATCATCACACAGCTATGGCTAGATTAAAATTGAATTCATATCTACTAAACAAGGTCTGTGTTGCATAAGCTGTAAACATCACATGATTATACTTATAGATCTACAGGGTCTGATAACTGCTGATAACACAAAACTTAATGGGAATTTTAGCATGAGTATTACCTCTTTTTGGTAGTTAAAAAACCCTTTTTCTCATAAGAAAGGTCACTCTGAACCAAAACGTGACCTATCTGTTAGTTGTTATTGCACATATTAAACATTTTGTGCTGTATATACATTTTGTTTAAATTTGTACTTTTTAAGTGTAATCAATGCATGTATGTTACCATATACTTATAGCACATAATATAATAATAATTTTCGAGTCGCTAATTTTTTGTAAATCTTACCTTTTAAGATTCCATGAAATTAAATTTTTATGAATAGCTTACAAACTCCATGACATCAATGAAAATGCAAAATTTCACAATTTTTATTCAAAAACAAATGAAACTAACTACTCAAAAAATTTTCCAAGATACCGTATTTTTCTGTCATTGTATACGTGTGTATATGTGATATTTTTCATGTCACATATACACACATATATTGTATAGGTTAGTTCCAAAGGATTTTTCTACAGTTCTCACATCAGTCAGTAGTAAGTGGGTAATCATAACTCATTATAACATGATGCTACTGTAGGTTCCATAAGTAACGAGACACCAATGGTGCATTGGCCTTGCCAAAACAAAAAAAGCAATATTAATTTTGTTTTACATGCATGATTTCAAAACTATATTTTGTCCTGTATATTACCACTGTATTAAGAGTTACTTGCTTAGATAGTGTTGATTGCTATAGTTTTGAATAGTCAATTAAATGTGAGGGTGTTGGGGTGTGGCTGCAAACTGACAGCATGGCAGTTGTTACAGTCGAGTTACAGTACAGAGTGAGGTACATAGTCAAATGGTGGTTGCTAGAGTTGTCACAGTCCAGTCAAAGTGTCAAATCTTGATTACTAGAGTAAAATGGTGCTTCATGGAGTAACTGCTGGAAGAAGCTTGAGTTTTTTGGACTTCTACTCAGTGCACACACGCATTTAGTAGGCCCTAAGCGTCTGAAGTTTATAGGCCTAAAATACTCTTCCTAAGACCTAAGGACAAGCGCCTCGTGTATAGTCAAGAGGTAAGTAATTTTTAGGCATTCCTTCAAGACAAAGAAAGTTATAGAAAAATAATTATAGGAATATTTTATACTAATTTATTATAAAAATTCTAAGTTCATCGTATTCCATGTACACTACATTGTATATTACCGTATAGCACTTTAATTTGGTGGAGTTTTATTTTGGCGATTGGCAGTTTGCAAGCAGAATCGCCAATATTAAAACCACCAATCATTAATGTGCATGCTCAGTATTGCATGTGTACACAAAAATCGCCAAATTAAAAACTGCCAATTAGAATTTTATAGCAAAATTGCCAAAATAAAGCGCTATACGGTATGTCTTAATTGCTTTTCTGTTGTTCTTTCTCACAGGTTCAGTCTATCATTACTAAACTGGATGAAATCTTTTCTAATGAAGACCCCAATGAGCCATTACCTAATAAATGGTCAGTTTGTGTGTCACTCATTTCACAATGAAATTTACATGTACATGTACCCCAGGGTTCCCCACAGGATTCTGGCATAGTGCTTACCTTAAGGTTACTTTTAAATGCGGGTACTATTAATTGCGAATTTTGCATTTGGGTTAAAAATCGCAATTATTAATACGCGCAATTATTAATAATGACATCATGATGCCATATAACTATTAGTAATAATTACTTAATCGCAATTTTTAATACCAGCAAAATCTACCTTGTGCTAAAATCGCAAAATTTAGTACCCGCAATTAAAAGTCACTCTAAGGTAGTTGTAAATTTGACCAAAATATCCCGTACTAATATATTGTCTGATTTCATCAAATATGGCTAGAATAGATAGCTCTTATTCTGTTTTTATGTTTTGTAGAAGGTTTGAGCTGATTCCAATCAAGTTTGGATTTTTTTTTGAATTTTTAAAGGTACTCAAAAATCAGCCAAAAGTCCCTGTACTATTTATATATTGTACAGGGATTTTAGCCAAATTTCATCAAAAATGAAAAGGAGAGAATTCTTCATTTTTATAATTTTTTCTGATACATATACATGTTTTTATGTTGTGTAGAAAGTTTGAGGTGATTCCAATCAAATTTGGATTTTTTTACAAATTTTTAAAGTTACTCAAAAATTGGCCAAAAGTCCCTGTATAGTGATTTTGGCCAAATTTCATCAAAAATGAAAAGGAGGGAATTCTTCATTTTTATAATTTTTCCTGATGCATATACATGTTTTTATGTTGTGTAGAAAGTTTGAACTGATTTCAATCAAGTTTAGATTTTTTACGAATTTTTAAAGATACTCAAAAATCGGTCAAAAGTCCCTGTACAGTGATTTTGGCCAAATTTCATCAGAAATGAAAAGGATAGAATTTTTCATTTTAATAATTTTTCCTGTTACGTTTTTAATTTGTAATTTTATGTTGCATAGAAAGTTTGAACTGATTCTGATCAAATATGGATTTTTATGAATCTTTAGAAGTTGCTCTATACGCTATAGTGCTTATCAGCTAATGAAGCATGCTTTGTGGGAAACCCTGGTTTACACTGTAGTCTACTATAATGAGTATTTATTGCCTTAAATGGACTTTTACTACTGTTTTCACAGTAGATGTACATGTACATTGATATTATTCTTTTATTGCAGTATCATAGTGTCACAGTGGACCAGCATGTCGCATATCATTGAGCATCACTTAACACTGTCAAACATATCATGTACAAAGATTGACGGGAAGTGAGTTAAATTTATAAATGGATGTGTACATACATGTATTTTGTATATTTACATGTATAATGTATGTGTTGTGTTATTTATTTTTTAGAGTTCCTCTTAAAGACCGTCATGCTAACATTGATGCATTTAACAGGAAATCACCTAACCCAAGAGTTAGTATTGATTACTTGTATATATTTACAAATGCATGTAAAATGTAGCTACATTGTTGTATACTGAATGAAGTGACAGCAACACTTTCTTTCTTCCTCCCCCTTTCTCTCTCTGTCCCTCCCTCTCTCTCTTTCTCCTCCTCTTTCTCTCCAGGTTATGTTATTATCATTACAAGCTGGTGGTGTTGGTCTAACACTGACTGCTGCCAATCACGTCTTTATCACTGACCTCCACTGGTACGTGCGAAATTATGAAACTAGTGGAGAGAGTGTTTTGTATTATAATGCATTTTGTACATTATAGGAATCCTCAATTGGAGCAGCAGGCATCAGACAGGTGTCATCGTGTTGGTCAAACACGGACAGTAACTATCCACAGGTAAGGAGTATATGAGTTATGTTATGATAACGCCAGACCAGATGTGACCATAGTAATGTACTACTGATTTAATTGGGATTCACCTCAACAGTCTACTATGATATAGAGGGATGTATCCTGTGCCTCAGTAATCATTACTGGCTGATAACTGACTAAAAAGCGACTACAAACAATATTATACACAGCATAAGGACATCAATAGAGTTATGTAGAATTTTATATTATGTTTTATTAACATTTTTGAATTGTTAACCAGTAAGCCAGTACATGTAAATGATGTAAAATTATCGTACAATATAGACTACATCTACATGTATTTTTCACTTTATGTGCTTTGATAACCTACTTGTATCTCACTGTCATTGCCTGTAGGTCTATGCCCATTCAAAAGCTTGATTTATTATGTGATTGAAATTGTATTCCCTAGGTTTATGACTCAGAATACAGTAGAGAGAGTGATAGCAGTGATACAGGAAAACAAGTTGAAATTAGCTTCTGATGTTATTGGAGGGTAAGCTATAAACATACATGTACATGATGTATGTATTAATGCCTGTTAGCCTTACATGTAAGAACTGGGAACTATATGTCGACTAAATATCATAACATGGTCTTGGATTGATTTGATTGTCATAGCTCACAGTATTGTATGAAGTGGGTCTATTAAACTTTTTTCCCAAATTAGGTCTACCAAGAAAGGAAGGAAGGGTATGGGGCTGACACTTCATGACCTCAAAATGCTCTTTGAAATACCTTAACTGATGATCATTTATTACAATTGAATTCATTTATATGCTGCCTATTTGATGTTCTGTATTGTCACGTATATTTATGGTATTGTCAACCCTGATATTAAGAAACATCTTATAAGGACTGATTTTTAGTTTTACTAGACGTGGCTCAAGTACATACAAAATACAATGTGCAAGAAATTAATTTATACTGTATAGCCCCAAATTTTCATCGGTCAAAATTTTCATTCATCAAAATTAATTTTTACAAAAATTACGAAAATTTCATTGACCTAAATTAATTTTAACACGAAATCAAGATTTTGATGAAATTTTTGACTGACGAAAGTTTGGAGCTACTAGACATAGCTTTTCCAACAGAATGGCGGTGGCTGAAGTAGATATAGCAACGGAAGCTAGTTTAGATCTACTAGAAACCAGGCAAGTAAAATGTATGATGATATCTGTTATTATGAATGTGAGTAGCTCCGGCGTGTCTGCTGCAGAAGGCTTACTGACTGAGGTAAGCTAGGCACAACATTCATGACACTTCTCTAAACGACTAATCGATGAAATGGGCCCAGCTCCAGTAACCCCATAAGTCATGGCGTGCATGCATATGTGTTTTTAAGCAGCAAACACCTATGACAGTGATATATAATCAGACATACAGCTGAATGAAATGGCAGTAAATTTTCTTTTATTGTGGGGAAACTGGGAATGCATCTTGAGCCTTTGAGGTTGTTTGCCACAAGCATACCCAGCATCAAGCATTTACTAGAATAAGTTGCATTCTTTTATCATTAATGATGCTGCGTAGCATAAGTTGTTGTTTCTACCATATCAGCGCATTATGAAACAAAATGGTTTAAAGTAAGCAGCAGTAATAAATTGAGCAATTGTCCTGTATATAATAATCTATTTAGTTAATAATGCCTTGTGCCATATGTTATGTGTTGTGTGTATGTTAGCCCACTTCTGTTATGACTGCATAATGTTTTCCAAACAATGTACAAAAGGAAATCACTGACATCTGTTGCTATCAACTTTTGACTCCTCAGTTTTAGTTATACTTAGGTCATAGTTGTGCCTTCATACACGACTTTTGCTAGCATTACCAACCAAGCAACATGTTATTGCCAAGATAGAACAGCTTTCAACATGTTGCTTAGTCTACTGAGATCAAAGTAACCACAAATGTTGCTAGCCTATGTATGAAGTCCTTTAAAAGCTGAACAAACATGTATCCAATTCTTTTTTTGGGATTGCAAAGTTGCTCTATGCATTGACAGCAAGATGAAGAAACACATTTAACAACAAAAAATATATTTTGTTGGCAAGGCAATGGTTTCCTTGTTATAGTTGATGCTTTTGGAATTTTTTAGACTTTTATACAAAATTTCTTGTGCAGATATCTAATCACCTAAAAAATTTAGAAACTGCTGCTACAAATCTTTTTGAAATTAAGTAGCAAATTTCATGAATTTAGTTTACATAGTGAGAAATGGGGACCCACCTCCATAAATTGCAATGTTGAATACTGAATACCGTATAGCGTAAAATTTTCAAGGGCTGTAAATTTTGCAAATTTCGGAATTTTTTGAAGATTCAAAAAACTACTTCCACCAAAATCAAATTGTTACAATACAAGATAGCAGATGGCATAAATTTGTGAAAATTAAATCCACAAAATAGATTTTTAGGCAAATTCATGAACAGCCCTCAAAAATTTTGCACTATACTGTATTATAGGAGAATTAAATCCCAAAAATTGACAATGCCAAATAAAAATATTTTAATTTAGCTACATAATTACAATAGTAATTGTTGTTTTTTGTAAAATTCATCTTCTTGTCTTTTCCTCCATCTGGTGGCATTCAAACAGTGGCACTTGTATGACTTGATCTTATACAGTTACTAGAAGAATGTTAGTTATCATATGCATGCATTGGCTTGGATTCAGCACTGTGAAGAAGAATAATTTAATAATACTTTAATTTAAACGAGTGTATAAGTGCAAAAAATATTCCCACCTTGCATGCATTCATAGCTGAGTTCTTATGAAGACTTATAAAGGTTCTTCTACCTTCTAATGCTGTTATATTGCAGTCTTGCTTTTAGAAAGCTCATAACTTTGTCCTAAGCTGCCATGTGTATGCTCTAATATCTATGGCCATTTTGTTTACCATGATCACACTCACTTATGTTAAAAGAGTGTGGGTGGATAGTTGCTATAGGCCTTGTTATTTTGGTGATTGGCAGCATTAAAAGTGCATACATGCTCAGTAATGAACAAATGGACATAAAATTGTCAATAAAAGTAAAGCTATTTTTATAGCAAAGCAGCAATTATAGTCCTATAAGAAGTGATTTTTATTTGCTTTTAGAGCAGTGATTATTATGTTATTGAAGGAACTGAAGTCTCTGCAGAACACCTCATAGCTCCCATTGCTACAGCAGAGCCAGAGCAAGAATCCATGATACCAAAAAATCTCAGCTTTTTTAAGCGATTGACAACTGACACTGTATTTTTATCTGGTAGACAGAAATGCTTAAATATGCTAATGAGTCTGGCTGATGGTGCATCTTCAGTAGTGTCACATAAAAAAGTAAAAGGTAATTCTTAAAATACCTTTTGTCTTAATTTATAATTATTCGTTTATTCTCAAGAATTATCAGAACGGGTATCTGCATTCGAAAATGAATTTTCTCCTGATATTGTTGAATCATGCAGGGTAACGCCATTTGTAATAAACAATGGTTACAGTTACAGTATTGTATATTTTAGTGTATTTTGAGGATATTGAGAGATTATAATCATAGGACTCTTATTCATGAAAGATGGTTGATTGAAACACATGATCTTTTAGAAAACAAAAGACTTACTATTGGTGTGTTTGGTCGTCACAAAGCTGGCAAAAGTACCCTATTGAATGCTCTCCTTCATCAAGAGTAAGCCATTAGTTTAAAATAAGTATGAATAAAGCTTATTTTATAGGGTGTTGTCACATGCTGTAACAAATGAAACTGCTTTTATTTTGTCTATTATTCATGTTCCTCACAAAGATGTTAGTAAAAATTGTGCTTCAATATGTGAGGTATATAATTACATATGATAGTGCAATAAATACCATTTTAATTGAGGTATATACCATTTTAGGAAAGTCTTTCAATGCATGAAAAAAGTGAAAATGTATATGGTCGTCGAGCAATTAAGAATTTGATTAAGAAGAATAATAAAGCTAATAGAACTGAGACTTCTTTTGTAAGCTCTCAACATCCATAAAAATACCACTTATATATAATTTCTATTTTATAGGTTGTAAAACATGAGACAATGACAGCTCATGTTCCTTTCCTGTGCAACTCTTCCACTAGTAATATCAATGTCGAATTAATGGATACCCCTGGTCTATCAGAATCAAATAAGTTAGGAATTTCGGAATTGGCAGAGCACCAACTAATGACCTGTTCAGCATTTGTGTATGTAATTTCATGCTTACAGTTGCAAGATGCTGTTGATTCAGAATCTTTTGAAGCTATTTTGAAAAGGGATCCAGGTAATAAGGAATTAGCGGTATAAATTATGTTACTATTATGCCACTGTATTACCGTATAGCGGGTTTTTTTCGAGGATAACAAATTTCGCGAATTTCGCTGATTTTTTCATGATTCGCGAAATTAAATTCCTTGAAAATCAATTTAATACGGTACAAGATGGCAGATTAGTGAAAATTCACAAAAATTAATTTCGCAAACTTCCGGATATGGGTCATTCGCAAAATTTATTATCCTCGAAAAAAAAACCACTATACGGTATTTGTCACTCTTGTATAGCCATTAGCCAAAAGGGTGTGGTAAGTGAAACTGCATTTAAATTCATAAGTTTTATAAAATGTCATAATAGATTCTTGTTTAATAGGTGTTTTTATAGAAAAAAGGTTGCTTATTGTTGTAACAAGATTAGATGAATATAAAATTCCTGTCACAATATGCAACGATAATACTGTTGCTGACGATGATGAAGATGAAAATATCTATTACACAATTGAGGAAGTTATCTCTAGCATCAAATCTACTGTTAAAAATCATTTCAAAGAAATTTCAGAGATCCCCGATGATTGCATTATTCCTGTCTGTGCCTCTGGAGCAAATGAAGCACGCAAAGCCTCTATGAATATAAAATATGATTGTGATAAAGAGCTGCTAGTCTTTAAGAAAATGCTAGGACGAAGGATAAATGAGGAAGAACTTGAAGCTTTGAGTCAAATAAAAGTTTTGGAAGAAAAGTAATTATAGTTATAACTTATAACTTGCATCAGAATAAAATATGCTATTTTTTAAATTTTATAGACTTGGATACATAGCAACGGATGCTCCTCGTATTTGGAAATATAGTATTGCAAGAGACTGCTGCAGATACTTAGACCAATCTGTTACAGAAATCATATCCATTGAAAGAGAATTGAAAGCCTGTAGAGATAGTTAGTTATCATTTTGCCATTAAAAGTATGTACCAATAATTTGTATAGGTTATAATGAAAAAGTAGCAAAAAAGAGAGCTATAATTACTAGTTACATAAAAGAAAAAGAAGCTTTAAGGTCTAAGTATGAACACATGGGTGATTTTCACAAAAAATTAGAGCTAGCATATGATAATGATATTGAGGTTAATTAATTTTAAATCAGACATAATAATGATAAATTTTATTTTTAGTCTCATTTTGATGACATTAAAAAGGCATACATGGATAAATTTGAAGAGTTTTGTGCAAGTATAAAAAGCAAGAAAAAAATCACTCTTGAGGATTATTGTGAAGGTAACAAAAACTATCGCATGACAATCAATTTTATTTTGAATAGAAACAAAAAAATTTATTGAGACAACTAATCAAGAAACAAAGTCAGAATTGAGTCGTATGAAATTCAAACAATTGGATGGAGTAATTAATAAAGCCAATGTATTTCTTGGAGGGAAGCAGCAGAAACTTGTTTCTTTAATGTCTTCATTCTGTGAAACAGAAGGTATAATAACGATTAGTGTTAATGAACTAAGCTTGACTCATCAATGAATCAGATATTAATGGCTTTGATGAATTAAAAGATGTAGATGAAACAGAGCAATCCATGTCTGATATGTTAAATACCGATCATAGTGACAATAAATATGACTCTCCAAAAATGCTCGAGTTTAAAGATTTGGTAACAAAAAGTAAATCAGAGTAAGCGCATATATATTAACTTATCATTTCTGACCAATTTGTTTATAGAAATCTTACTTTTTTTTGAAAAAATACGAGTCCTTGCTCGACAGTAAGTTTGTAATTATTATCATTATTAGTTTATTGTTTAAATGCATAGGCTGTACCAAAAAATTACAATGAGAAAAAAAGCAGAATTATCGTAATTTACCACTAAGCATAGTATAGATAATAGATGAATTTAGGTCTGAAAATGTAGAGTCTCTGCTACAGGAACTAAAAGATGACTTAATTAGTGATAGTGAAAAGTACTTTGTTAAAATTAAAAAAAGAATACTTGAGGTATTATTAAGATTAAATTGGTTGATTGCTCTCTGTAATAGTGTTACTTGAAGGAACATCAAGAAATTTATGTTAGTAGTATTCAGCGTATTGAAGAAGAGCTTTTTTACAAGAAAATTATGGAAATGAATCACATGATTAGTGATGTAAGGGAAGAGTAAACAAATTTTATTATTATTATTATTTTTATTTTTAATTTTTAGTGGAGGACAACAGCTACAATTAATGATGAACTGGCAAGCATTCAAGGTGCTTTAAGTGATGCTTTAACAAAGCATAAAGTTCATCTTGTTACTCTTATTGCTTCTTGTCAATGCAAAGAAACTGCTTTGTAGTGTAGTGTACCATGTAGGACTTTGGCATAGAATTATGCTAACCATGTAGTTATAACTCTATTATAACTATATCTATCTTTCATTATCATTATGCTTTCATTTAGTTGTAATAGTTTTTATATTAACAAAACAACGTAAAAATGACTTGTTTCAGTTATTAATTTTGATTCCATCAAAATGTAGTCTATATAAGACTATGCTGGAAAATTATAGTTATAATAGATCTATGACATATTTTTTGCCTTTTACTAGTTTAAACATAAACAGCACATAGCATAGATCTATACTTGTAATTGCCAAAAAAGTAAAAAACACATGTACAAGACCTAGGGAATTATTAAATTTTAATGATGTTATTGCAGTACCTCATTATTTGCTATACTTGATGTATATAGATTAATAGGACTTTCGTAGAGCAAACATACTCCACTAGAACATACTCTCACTTTAATTTCATCACTGGAAGGCATTGTTGACTGCTGCCTGATTGCTCTTCAGATCATTGGGACAGAATTTGGATTAGTAGTGGAACCAGACTATGTTCACCAACAAATTCTTGAATACCAGCACCAAAATATCAGACAGTTGTAATTTTAGTATGTGTCCATGCATGATATGTTCAGATATGTTTATGCGAGAGTTGTAATATAGATACACCATCAATATACCTTGAGCAATACCAAAGATGTCCATGGGCACAGGCTGTCGTATAATTTATAACCCATTTTCATTATCACAATTGATACAATGAAGCACTATGGTGCAATGGACTCGCCTGCTGGAATTCACTTGAGTGATATGTATTACTTGTACTGTGAATCTGTGATATTTTAAGCAATTTGAAAAAAAATTATTTTTATTGACTGCATAGTTATAATGATAATTAAAATAAGCTATGGGTGTGGTCAACAACTAACTAGCTAAATCATGGCACATGGGTAGGAGAAAGAAGAAAAGCTGAAATTTATTTTAGCATCTGAAGCTCTATTCCAAGAAAGAGTTGGCACAGAAAATTTTTCTAGATATTTAAAAGAGACTGAGAGAGTTTGGTTGCTCCTGCTTTCCCCAGTGCCGCCTGAAAAATTCTCCAAGAGGCTAAATCACAAAGTTTGAGCAACCGTAACTCACAAACAACGAAGTTAGGACAAAATCGTTCTTTTTATTTTTCGTTAGATGGGATTTTCTACCTCTGAAGCAAATCTCGACCCTGTAGAGTGAAACACGAGCTCTCACCTGGAGAGAGGTCCCCTGGTTTAGCAGTTCACAGCTTTTGGTGCCACGGGATGCTACAAGAGCATAATTAGATGAAAGAAAGCAACTTTATCTGTTGCTAGAAGAAGAAATAGAGCTCTAGACTGCTCAAACAAAAAGATATTTTTTTTACAAATCGATTAAATTGTGTGGACAGAATGACAGAATGACAACCCAACTGCTTAGTACCCGCCTACGCGAGTCCAATAATACTAGCAGAAGTATTATCTTGATTCTTGTACATCATAGGAATCCTCAATTGGACTATTGGACCAACAGGCATCAGACAGGTGTCATCATGTTGATCAAACACAAACAGTAACTCTCCACAGGTAAGGAGTACATGTACATGTATATGCATGTAGTCTAAGCTGTATGAAGAATTGTATCATACATTTTATTGACATTTTTGAATTGATAACCAGATTATTATGTATTTTTACTTAATGTGCATTGATAGCTTACTTGCATCTCACTATCAATGCATTTAAATTTATGCCCATGCATTCAAAAGCTTGATTTACTACCGGAATGTGAATATTTCATATAGGCTTATGACTGATAGCAGTGATACAGGAAAACAAGTTGATTTAGGTTCTAATGTTCTTGGAGGGTAAGCTACACATGTACATACTACATGTACATGTAAGAGGCATAAACCATATTCCCACTAAATATCATAACATGCATGGTGTTGGCTTTTATGTGATTTTGACATAGCTCACAGTATTATAGTATGAAGTGTCTATTCACTTTATCTTTCCCAAATTACATGTAAGTCTACCAAGAAAGAAAGGAAGGGTATTGGGCTGACACTTTCAAGACCTCAAAATGCTCTTTGAAATACCTTAACTTCATCTAATTATATCATGCATGCATTGTTCATTATACCATAACTGCTAATCACAATGATTTTATATCACAATTCATTTTGTATCTGCTACTTAATTAATGCATTGTTCTGGTAACTCTAAAAGTTGAATATTTATAATTATACATGTCATGAAAGAGTTCCAGTCTTTTTTGTCAGGTTGTTTTCCCCTTAATTGTCATGCATTTTCTCCCCTTTCTTTTCTCATAATTATCAGCCCATCCTACTTTTCTAGCATGCTTCATCTGCACTGCATGAGTGCCACAAACAGTGTATAAGGGTTCATAGCTAGAGGGTATTCTTGTTAAACTTTTACAAATTTTAGGTTTCTTAGCATTGAGATATTAGTCTATAAACTACTATCTAAATGCTTCTCCGGATGCATTAGAAGACAGGAGTACACTCTTGATTTGTCTCTTTTTTTTATTTCTCCTCCTGTGATCTTTCTTTTAATTCTCTTTTTTCTCCCAAACTCCTGTGATCTTTCTTGCAGGCAGCCCACTCCTGGTCAGTGCTCTTGCTATCATAGTATTCATAGAGTGTATTATGTATGCTATATTCATTGCTCTTTAACTTCATCACCATAGATACTATGTTTGTCTGCTAGATCCGCCCTTATAAAAGTTTAAAATTTGGCTATGGCAACTCCTTTTGTAAGAAGAAAATCAATAAAAGAGCTAGGTTAGTCACATCATGGTCACATAATACTATACCATTATGCTGCTACTTTTTTATGCATTTTTAATAGGTATAGGCCATCTTTCTGAGATATTTTCTTTACTAGTAAAACATGGATTTCCTTTTGTTGATTACGATGATCTTGGTCTTCAATTAGGGCTATCACGTTCTACACTTGATATCATTACTCACCAAAATAGTGGAAATGTTGATAGCTGTGTAATAGAGTGTTTGAAAGCATGGTTACAAGGGGATCCAGAACCAACATTTGATGTATTAATACAAGCATTAAGGGAGATGGAAGAGAATACTGTAGCAGATGGGATTGAAAAAGAAAGTAATAAGCAATTCTATGTTATGATATAATTATAATAGATTATATTAATTAGTACTATATATAGATACATTATATACACCTGTACAGAGCTACTTGTACTTTGCTCAAGTAGTATATGAGACACAGAGACCAGGAAGAGAATGGCTGATGAGAGTCATTTTTGGTAAAGACTTGGATTTGCTTGCAATGGTAGATTTATTTAGTGAAAACTTAACAATGATTATTTTTAAACTTCTATAGCACATTAACAAGTTCAAAAAAGTTGATGAGGAAAGTATTGAGATATCTTTTCAGTTTAAAGATAATGACGATGGATTCATTGAGTTATGCTTTAATGATGAACATTGTCCTAAGGGATGGTCTGTGAGACCTCATCAACCACCTTTAAAAGTAAGAGTTTCAATTAATTGTTACAGTAGACCTATGAATCTTTTATGGCAATAGGTTAGTCGAAGTGCCATTGATAAATATGGCAGCATGTCACCTCCTCGTTTTCCACAATGCTTAATCACAATCACGGCTACCTCTGGTGAAGATGCAGCTCAAGAATTAATCTATCCTGTGACAATGAGAGGAGTTAAATCTGATACTGAGAAGATTTTTATTACATTAACAAAAGGTTAGTATCATTTATTTTTATAATTTGATCAGTATATAATGTTTCACAGGCACCATTAAGCAATCACATAAAAGCTCTGCTAAATTATCTATTCCAAAAGGTATATTACTGGTAGATTTTAGATTAATTTATATTAGTAAAATTTACCTGCATGAATCTAAATTCTAGGAAAAATAGAAAAATGGCTAGAAGAAGGTGAAGTTGAGCTAAAAGTTACTCGTATCAATATGCATGGTCCACCTAGAGCTGGTAAAACGTGTTCACAGCGCCTCCTACTAAATGAACCACCACCACCTTTTTACCAACTCACTGGTAGTACACCTGTAGTTTGTCCTGCTGTTCAAGCAACAAGAATATCTATTGACGATAAGAATAAGAAGTGGAAGAGGGTTGAAATTGATGATTTACTTAGCCAGTTAGCATCTACAGAGGTTGATGAAGTGCCAATGCCTCAAAAAGATATATTTGCTTGTTTAGATGTGCCATCATTAGAAAAAACACCAGCTAAAAATAAACAAACCATAAATAAATTAACTGAGAAAAAACCAACCAATATAAAATTAACCAAAAAACCAATGGTTGTGGAAGTATTTAAAAAAATTTTAGGCGCTTCTGAAGCTGGTAAATCTAGAAAATTAAGTACAAATTGGGTGTATTTTATTGATTCTGGTGGTCAACCAGCATATCGAGAGTTGCTACCTCTTTTTACAAGAGCAGCTGCACTGAATATTATCACTATTGATCTTACCAAACCTCTTGACGAAAAGTGTGAGTTTCAATATTGTATTGGTCAACACACATCTGCTATAAAAACTAATCTGAAATATTCCAATCTTGATATCATCCAGTCAACAATTAGCTCCGAAGCTATGTTCAGTCCCATCAAATTTCCCTATGTCTCTCAAAATCCTGACCACCCCCATTATCTTATACTTGGTACACGTAAAGAGTTGGTAACTGAGGAAAACCTAAAAGCAATGAATGAAATGCTGATAGAATATAAAGCAAATAAGAAAGTTATTAAGCATAATGAGCGTCAAGACTCAATTATATTTCCAGTTAATACTATGCTTCCTGGTGGATCTAAAGAAAGAGAAGAAGCTAGTATGAAAATTTGTACTGAAATTTCAAATGCCAGAGTTGCCATGACAATTAAGCTACCGATTCGATTGTTTCCATTTGAAATATCACTTCAAATTGAAGCTAAAAAGATGAATCGAAGTTTTCTTACAAAAGAAGAAGTGATTGAAATCGGTAAGCAACTCCGACTTGATAAAGAATCAGATATCAATGATGCTCTGCAATATTTACACAATGTGACTATCATTCTTTATTACCATGATGTCCTACCAAACTTAATATTTGTCGATCCTAAACCAATTCTTGATGTTCTTTCACATCTAATAGCTATCACATATGTCAATCATACTGATTTACATTTGATTGCTGATCCACCTCCTTCATCAAAGGAAAGAGATTGTCTCATAAAATTAGGCCTTTTTAAAGAAGAACTTTTGGCAATTATTGGTAAAGAAATTTTTAATAATGATTTTCGACCATCTGACATGATTAGGCTTCTGAATTATCTTCATATCATTGCTAAAGCAGAAAATAGAGAAGAAGGAGATTATTTTTTTCCATGTGCATTGCAATCTTATGACAAGCTTAAAGACCCCCCAACAGAAATACAACCACTTATTATAGCATGGGAGATTGACAATAGTGGCACAACAAATTTAGCCATTCCACAAGGATTATTTCCTTTAACAATTGTTCATCTTTTAAAACAAAAAGGTGACATAGGCTTCACTCCAGTCAGTAAAGAATATTACAGGTGTCATGATGCAATGTCACTTCATGTTTACATAGAAGGAGAAAAATACACCATAGACATCATCAATCTCTACACACATATTGAAATACATTTGGATGATTGCAAGAGGTTTTGTCCACAAATTCGTCGATTTGTCACAAAAGCTATTACCAAAAGCAGAATAGAACTCAGAGTTGGTAAAAACTTTATTTTTGCATTCAAATGCCATATAAATGAACAATGTTACTGCATTGTTCAGGAAGATAAGTTCTCTACTAGATGTACTTACTGTCGATCACGATTTAACATTCTACAAAAAGATGATAGCTATAGATGTTGGTTTAGTGATTTTCAGTTTTCCAGTTTGGGTTAGTAATTTGGATGTTATAGAATAATGAAATCATTATTAGTTACTTTTTAAGGTGCTGAAATCGGTATTAAAAGAAAAAGGACTTCACAAGGTATACTTTGATTTAATATAATTTTTTGCCTGAAGCTCTGTTATATTGTGTTTCCACATATTTACTAATTATCATTTCTAATGCTACTATTTTTTCTACATTACATTATGATATTTTTTTAGAAGTGGAAGCATCATTAGCAGGTACATCTACAAAGCGACCCACATTGCAATCCACTGAATTAAGTAAACTTAATGTAGAAACTCTTAAATAATTTTTGTGACTATACTTTTCATTAGATACCAGTGATCTTGTTGACATACGTGATTTACTGAAAAAGCATGGATATTCTGGTATAGATTATTATGATCTTGGTCTTCGTCTGGGTTTGCTCCCTTGTACACTTGATGTTATTAAGGATAATAACCATGGAAATGCTAAGAGCTGTCTAAGAGAGTGTTTGAAAGCATGGTTAGAACAAAGAGATAATGTGAAGAGTAAAGGTGTTCCAAGCTATAGTACATTAATACAAGGATTGAGGGATGAGGAAGAGAACACTGTAGCTGATGGAATTGAGAGAGACATTAATTTATAATATTGAATAATGAATTATTGAATTAATTTATATAATGAATTGTTTACAATTTATAATTTATCTACTTAGATTTTT